CTTTACCATTCGGTGGATCAAAGACACAGTCACGGCACACATGGCCAACTCGGCCGCAATGGAAGCAAAAACTTAGCAGGAATTCATATTTTAGGCTAACCCAGAAGCTATCGACTTCCTCACTTACCGCCATTAACTGCGATCGGAGAGGCTGAGAAAAGTCAATAATAGTATTAACTTTTATAAACCGCTCACCGGTTTCCTTGCAAGCAAGGATTCCTGACTCCAGAACTTGCCCAATCACCGCAACTACAATTTTCTGCCCAAAAAGTTTGGTACAACAATCCTCCTTCACTCCCCATAGCTGGATCCGAAATGGGTCTTTAGACATCTCATCAAAGGTTCCTTTTGAAATAACAGGAGACCAGGGACGAAGGATGAGCAACCGATCCTTAATGATCCACGGGTTCCAAGAGAGTGCCCACTTCTTAGCTTCATCGTTAGGCAAGACGATCTCAAAGAGCCCATGCTTAGTTCTCAAGACTTTAAGCTGACCACAGATCTTCCAGGCATCCAGCAATCCTTCACGCAATTCCACAGTGGTGATTTGATCATTAGTGAATAAACGACCCATGAGGGATTGAGAAGCTCGGAATCGGGTCGATTGCACCTCCTCAAGGGAGAACTGACCACTTGATCCTCTGTTACGTGGGACATCGTACACAGCACCTGACAATAAGAAGTAGAACTCGTATTACAATCAGGTGGAGCACACCCTAGCACCTCGTCCGTCAAGGGTTCACCATTCAAGGAAGGAATGGGACGAGGTTGCGTAACAGGTGATTGGTTAGATGGCGCAACGAGAAAGGAAGGAGGAGGTGATCGATCACATAAGAGATCCCATTTACCTGAGCAGCTCCCAAACGAAGGCAAGAGGGATAGAGTTCCAACTGGAGCAGGTTTTCCTGGGTGCCGAAACTGATGATTAGCTAGTCTAAGCAGCCCAGGTGAGGAGGGTATATATAAAGGCCCTAGACCCCGATGGAAGCCGAGTCTCAGAGACACGGTTAGTTTCACAGTTTGAGAGCGAGTAGGATTAGGATTCCCACTTGGATGAGGAACCCGACATGAATTATCCCGTTGGGCCGGGATACACCGGTAACCTACTAACAACCCCGAGAAAATAGGGGGGAACAATCCCGAACTGATCTCCAGAACACGGTTAGTCCTCAAATCACGGGATTGGGAGGATAAGGCCCACGTGGTCATGCATGGGGGCTCACCGGAATACCTGCCGGCACTACCTGCCGGATAATATCGCATTGGCCGTTGCACCACCAGCGAGCGAACTTCCGCCGCTTCCGCGACAAAATCTCGATCACCCTGGCCGACCTGAACGTCAACTCTCCACATTGGACGACTAACAACATTAATAAACCCGTCGGTCTTGGATAACAGCAATTCATCGCCTACCAGATCCATCAACGAATGGAGCCAAAATCTCCATTCGTGTAATCGAACAACTCTGCATTTTTTCGCAGGGCTAGTATTTGATAAATAAGTTTCAATCGAGGGATTGTGATCCTCGCGTAACAGAGAACGTTTTCGTTTACGGAGCACCCTATTAGGGCAGCAACCCTCTCGATGAGGCCATCGAGTAAACATAGGTTTTCTGCTCTTCATTCATCGCATTCCGCGGTTTGTCATGCTTCCATGACTGATCTCGTCAAGCAGAAAATCCCCAGCAGGTTTGCACCAATCTCCTTTCTGGTTCTTCAAGCTGAGCAGAAAGAGAGATGAGAGGATCTTCAGCAGCCATCCACCAAGCCAGCACGGCCATGCGAGGAGAGAGCTCCTCTCATTTTTTTTAATGAATTTAACTCTCTGTCAACATAAAAAAGTAAAGTCTCCTTAACCTTGATTGGGAGGTTAGAATTGATCATGTGTTTAGAGAGGCTAACTTTGCTGCTGATTTTTTAGCTAGTATGGGTCACAATGTAGATTTTGGCACACACCACTTCAATGTATGCGACCCGAACCTCGGACATTGGCTGTTACACGACATGATGGGCATTGTACATGATCATGCGTTTATTAATACGAATCAGACGCTAAGACGTTAATCTTTCTACAACAAAAAAGGATGGTGGTGATGTTAAGGTAATAAAAAATATATATTTCTTTTAATTTTTTTTATTGTCATTTCATCTATTAACAGCCAATGATTATTGTGAACTGCTATATAAAAATAGTTTAACGGAACTAGATAGTTAGTGATCAATGGTAGAATAATATTAAAAGTGAATGACTAATAATAAAATTATTTTCGGTGACAAACATGAAAATTTTTGATAACTGAGGAAAAACGAAGACTACTCATATCCTACCAGAGCTCTAATCAATACTAGCTTTTTACCCGGCCCGTTGGCCGGAGAGATTTATTTTATAATTTATATTAATTAACTTATTTATATGTTTAAATCATTTTGGATCTTCTAAATATTTTGTGTTCTTGATTCATAAAAGAGTTTGTAGTATGTCTATATTGAAAATTTCCAATATTTAGCACACTCACTTCTGATGCTTCGGTTTTCTAATCATAAATTATGTCGCTGTCACGTCCCATTTATAACTTATGTCAAAATTTGTCAACCAAAACACTAATATTTAGCGTACGCCAACCTGAACCACACACACTTCCATACGACCATTAATTTTTGTGCTACTTCATGGGGTTTCTTTTTCATCGTATCATACGTGATGATTAACATTGTTTTGACATGAATCGCATGCTCATAATGACAAATATGAAGCGAGTGCATTGAATGCACCCAAAAATGTGAGTGCAACAAAGACATAACCACATATATATATCTGTGTGTGTGTGTGTGTATATATATATAGTAGACTCAAAATTATCCAGATACTTTTCCAGACCTATCTTATCTCGCCTAATACTCATATTAAAAGTGCTACTCGCCTATCCCCCACCCTTGGGATAGAGATCCCGCTTTTACCCCATAACGTCAGACAACCATTGAGGTCATTTATCGTTTGATATGTAATATATAAAGAGGGAAATTATAAGATGATGCTATTTATTTCTTATCCTCTCCCGCCGCCTCCCTTTATGGAGAATAATAGGGTAGGGATGAAAGGAACATAGCTCGATATATTTTTATTCTGTTCATCGTATCGGAGGTTATGTTCTTTTTTTTTTTGCTTCTTTTCATTCTTCTTTGACACCTATGGTTGTGATCAGAGGTATTTAGCCCCCGAAAGGGGTTGAGATTATAGGTCCTTTCGAAATCCAATACACATTCATGATCCTCAAGTTTGGACGAACTCTTGACCAATGTTGTAAAGCTTAGGACATTTTAGTGAGACATTCTTAGTAAAGATACTTCATTATTGGATCAATTTATTCATCCATATTGAAACTTGACACACACCGTAGCCCTCGTGATGATTAAATTCTATAATCTCGCCTCATTTCCATTTTGGATGTAGTTTTTTTTATCAAGACACTTAAATTTAGTATATTATAGAATATGTATCAATTGTTAATTTTTGAAGTTCAACCGTGGTCATTGTTTATATGTTGGCTTAGAATCTCAATCTAAGACACTCGCACACATTATCGAGGATTTTGGTCTTAACATGGTCGTTGAATGTGTAATTTTCAAAGATTTTATCACTTATATATTAATATTTGATAAAGAGTGTCTACAATACACACATTTTTCAAGTGCATTTAAAATGTCTTATCATTTGAACAATATCGGTGGATTTCATTTGATTATTTCCATTAACTTATTATCTATATAACATATATCAATTCGTGTTTCTCGAGTTTGGACGAACTGGCAACCAATTTTGAGAGTTGAGATTACTGGATAATGATACTTGATTGTTGGATAAATATGTTTATCCCAATTGACTATTTTACTAAAAATTGCCAACCTTTATTTGCGAAATGTCTAAGTTAGTAGTTGATGAAACGCGGTGTTTATCGTAGATTCTCTAACATTCCTTATGTTTTTTCAAGGAATCTTGTGTCTCATCCTAGGGTATGAAGTCAAAGTTCGTCAACAATCATACTTAAGTCATTTTGAAAAATTTTATTTATAATCGTTGACGATAAGTCCAAGTCTGAAAGAAAATTTTCTTAGCATACGACTTAGGACCTCAATAGAGCTTGCTCAATCAACATGATATAGAACAAATATTATTGATGTGAACTTAGGACACATTATAAAATTATTGCACATGTGATTTCTCTTCATTTGAGGAGTTTAAGGTAGAACATGATGTGAGGAATAAGAAGTCTTTTTTAAATAAATAACTATTACTACTCGATCAAGATTATACTCTGACATTTTGCTAAATAATACTTATTTTATTTTATAGACATATAATTTACGAATAAGAGAGTGTTTCATTGCAACAAAATATAAAGTAATATAGTTTATTTTTCATAGGTAATTGAATGTCAAATGTTTATTTTCTCTCTTTTCATATAATTTTTTTAATCGAAAATTTTTTATTGTTTATGTGTATGTTTGTCTAATTTCCATAAAAATATAACTTATCATTCAATTTTAGAAAAAATGAGTAAAAACATTACTTCATAAGGTTTAATCAGATATTTTTTATTTAAACAAATGTGGTATATGTTACTTTCTGTTTTCTTATTTATATTTTTTTTACTGGACAAAAAAATTATTATTTATGTGTGTTTGGTTAAGTTTATCAACATGTAACCTACTATTTAAGCAAAAAAAAGTTAAAAGAAATGGAAATATTAAAGAAGAGAGAGGTAGCTCCATAAATACATTAATAACTAATTTTTTTGTTTGTAAAAAAGTTGTCCAACTTGACAAATTGTGGATCCTCCAAGTGCTTATGTGGCAAGAGATTTCTTTTGAATTGCGATAATATATAGTATAGTTAGATTCTACTCAGAATCAAGAGTGGTTCAAGGTTTTGAAATAGTGATTTTACAGTTTATACTTTATAAAGAACTTCAAGGTTTTTCTGTTCAATCGGCTCCGACCGCCATGAATTGGAAGTCATGGCTTCGAGCTCGCAGCTTAGGCAACGATTCAGTGCCCCAACAATCCAGTTCGAACCCAAAACGTCTACAAGTAAACCCAGACGAAGAGCTTCATGGAGTTACCCAGCAGTTGATAGATCGAGTCAAGTCTTTCACGCTCGATGACTTCAAGAAATTTCCACTACGTGGTACGTCAATTATCTTCCTGGTTTTGGAAATCTTCCTGGAATTCATCAGACATGGATTGATTTGTGATGATTCTGGATTCCCCTTTCCCCCCTTTGCCTGGATAAAGATGACGGAACCACAGAAGCTTCCTTTGGCGACGAGATGGCTGCAGCTGCTTCCGCTAGCGTTCGAAGGGATCTCTCTGAGTGGCAGGAGAGACATGCTACCCTAATTCTTGCCAAAGTCAAGGTATTGATCCGTTTGCTAATCGAATTGATTATCACTTTATTGTATTTTTGGTTTTAATCTAATCTATTCTTTGGCCCAGTCCCTTCTCCGAGGAATTCATAGTCAACTGAAATTGTAGAGTAATGATTGGTTCATAGCTGCTGCTGTGTCTAGATGTAATCTAACACTCAACGAATTTGTGATAGCTACGGTTCTGCTTAAGGGAGTTTGCTTCTCTACTAATTTGCCAAGTGCATATAATTTGGTCTCTTCAATCAGGAGACTTCATATCAGTGCTTGGAAGTTGGCAATTTGAGAGTCTGTTGCCATTCCTGGTCTTACTGCTCAATGTGTTTGAAATACTTGAGAAGCTTGTTTCCTAAGGACTTGTAGTTTATTGATAGTGCGGACTTCTCTTGTCTAGGCGGGCATAAGCTTCTCTATTATCTGTCGAGCACAGTGGGACTGGGTTGGAACCTTTGTGGAATTTGTGTACTCTTTGGTTGTATTTATTGATTATGCCGAAAGAACAGACTATGGATCTTAGCAGCTACATGCACCCGGGATGAACAAAATGCCAAGGAGTTGGGTTTGCCAGTTGATTTGCCTTTCAACTTCTGATATCTGTGATATGATGCGTGTTCTTGGGTACTGGTAGACTGCCTGGGATCTGTGCGTTGGTTGTTCTTGGATGTTACATTTCAATTGCCCACTTACAGTTACAGTGATCAATCATAACCTATCATCCAACCTTGTTTTCTTTCTTCGTCTCAGGAACTTGCACAGTTAAGATTTAAGTTATCCCCTGGCCACTTGAAAGAGCGAGATTTTTGGAGGATCTATTTCACACTTGTCAAGGCCGACATAGCTGAGTAAGTGCTATATAATCTTCAGTATCCTACTCAAAATAGCTAGAAAGGGTTCTCTCGAAGTTATATGCTTAATGGTGCTGCATACATTTGAGTTCTTTAGGTGTTTGTCAGCCGTATTTTTGTTCCTCTCTGCTCACGGCCCATTATCTGTAATGCATGGAACAAGAAGGTAAAGTATTGTTGTCAGATCACGAGGCCGAAGGAAATAATGCATAATCTAACTGAAATTAGTGAGCTGCTGGATACTGAGATTTTAAAAACCAGAAGATATAAGCTTTTTTGTTTGCTTTTGTGCAATTTGTCCGAGTTTTGTGCGACAGACAACTCTAAGATTGAATTGGTTCCTTGTGTGAAATCCATAGAGGACATGTATTCCTCCTGTGTTCAAGGGCCTCAACATCTTGTTAAGAATGTGTGTGGTAGAATAAGGCTAGATTTATGAGTCATCGAATGAGGGACAGTTGTGTCTAAGATCGGATGTATGTTGGCTTCCAGGTATGAGCTACGGGCGATCCAACTAGCTAAACTTCGGAAGATGGCAGTTGAGGATGGAAAATCTTCAGACTCCAGCACAATTGAAGTTGAAATGGCGGAGACAGTACAACGAACAAGTTTACAACCGTCAACTCCATGAGAGAGATCACATGTTTGTTACCAGGAACAGGAAGAATATGTTACCTCAAACTGATAATTTTCCAAGGGAGCCTGGCTTGAAGAGTAACTGTTTGCTGGGAACTGAGATAGCACGCATGCTGCCAGCTTTCTTTCCTTTGCATCCAATGCTGGTTCGATTAGAAAAAGGACTCTTTGTTAGCAACTGCCATTGAATATGAACTCTGACCGAGAAGAGAATCAAGATGCCCAGCAGAAACCAGCAAAATGCGCTGGTTGTCTTTGGTTGAATGTGAATTAAATTTTGTTCTGAGTAAATGTAAGAAAGAAAGGAAAAACAACCACTGCAACACTCTATTTGTTTTCTTACTCCTTTTCACCAGCAATGGCGCGGGTTTTAGGGATGGTTTCCCTCAACCATCCTATAACCGGTATCAGTCAAACGACTTTCAAATTTGGTAGAGTGTAGTATAGAACGCCTTGATCAATTCTAGATTAGTTATAGAGAAAGAATACGTCTCTCTAGGCAATTGACTTAAGAGGGCTTTGATTTCTTTAGTCGAGATTCAAGGTCCAGACAATAACTTTTCGCATTGTGAATGAAAATGAATCAAGTTAGGGATCAATGATCATTAATTCGGCTAATGGCTAGGGGAAATTATACCTAAGTGAGTTCTCAACTTTTAATTAGTAGTCTAATCTAGCTTTAGGCTGTAGAGTAGTTTAGTTAATCAAACATCAATATGATATACTAGATAAATGAAGTTGAGTAATAGTAACTCTAGAGACCCGTGGATTTTATTACTTGTGTCACAATATTGCAGTCTCTTTCATTGCTTAGATTTGGCCATTGTTAGGAGTTGAATGTCCAAGGAAACACAACTCAAATTGAGCCTTTTTGGATAAAGGAGGTTTCCTCTCTAAACTAGCTTAGAAGGCATGCAATGCCCAAGAACACCCATCTCAAATCGTGCCTCTTAACCCAAGGAGGTCTCCTTTCTAAGCTAGGTTAGAATTGCAATTAGATTTATAGGCTTTCACACAACACAATCCTTCATGAATAATACCTCCACATTCACATTAAACACAACCACACACAACTCATTCAATTCATACAAGCATTTACATAATTGTAGATAGGGTTTATAAACACCCAAGTGAATAGGTAGGCTATTCCATAGCTAGGCAAAGGAAAACAAGGAACAAGAGAGAAAGAACCATAAGAGATGAAAATATTTCCTCCTTGTTGCTTGAATCTCCCTTGAGAAGAAGAAACCTTCACCTCTAGTTTGAAATGAGCCCAAATCTCCTTTTCCTCCTTTGAATTTCACTTTCTCTCTCTAGATTAGAAAGAGGAAACTCTAGTCTCTCACTAGAAACCCTCCTTTATTCTCAAACTAAAACCTTAAAAAAACTCCCCCTTCTCCTTCAACTCCCTTCTCATTTTATACCAAATCGGCCTCTGTTCAAGGTCTTAGGCTTCAGTTCACGGCCGCGTTGATCAGTTCAAGGTCTTAGACTTCAGTTCACGGCCGCGTTGGTCAGTTCACGGTCTTAGACCTCAGTTCAAGGACACGTTGATCAGTTCACAGTCTTAGAGACAGTAAACTGACGACTTCACGATTTGGGATTTCAGTTCACGGTCTTAGAGATCGTGAACTGACCTCTTGCCAGTAACCTCTAGAACCATTTTGGAAATTTGCAACTTCACGGTCTGGGCTTTCATTTCACGGTCTTAGAGACCGTGAACTGAAGCTCCAGCCCGTGAACAGGGCTCATTCTCCAATTTTTGTCTCATTTTGACCTCCGAATGACCCGAACCTTGTCTCGGACCTTCTCACACGTGCTAGGACTTGAAATGTACCAAAACAAACACAACCTAAAATAGGTCAAGAGAAGATGAAATGCAAAGTCAAACTATCAAGAAATGAGGGGCAAAATGTGTGCAATTGGACCTGAATCACTCCCCCACACTTGAACGTTTGCTTGTCCCCAAGTAAACTAATCTCAGACAAGGTAATTTTCAACCTAACGATAATAACTTGGGGACACAACAAAGGGAACACAATGACACATCAAAGGGAACACAATGGATGAATCTCAATATTTATTTGGCACCGATACGTGGACAATCACAAGCAATACCGGCGTCCACCACAAACGACATTCGAATGCATTAAGAACGTGCAAACGAAAAGTTCTCACCCCATTCACAAATCAATACAAGTCTCGACTGGACTACTCATCAACCAAAAATAACCATGCATAGAGTTTAAGTCCAAGGAACAAACGAATGGGCAACAAAGGTCCTCACCGGGGTATGATATGACATGCAAAGCAAGAATGAGTCACTCGCTCTCTTGACCAGTGGGGTCGGGACCATTGGTGCAAAGAATGCGCACAATCATCAGCACTCGGCCCTATCGTCTCTTCACCACGGCGGCAACCTCTAAATGATAGAGTTCACAGGACGGTTGTCGTCGCTAGCAAGTCCGGAGGTCTTAGACACAGGTTCAAATGACTGGCAAGGGTCTTGGACATGGTGAAAATGCCTTTTGGGTGGTGGCAAACACATCATGAGGTCCTACATCTTCACCCTAAAACCATAGGTTCTATGGCTTCGACTAAGAACCTTCCCTACACGCAACGACCACTAGCATCGGCCAAAACGACACTTCCCCTCTCCACACCTCTACCAATCACGAACTACATTCAAGCAAATTTCATCGGCCTATCTTGCTATAAAAAATTCCAAGCATCGTAGTGAAGGAGGTCAACAAGCAATTAGGTGTTTCAATGGCTTGAGTGCCGAGAAACCCTTTCTAGAGCATACACTCAGACTTTTTGTCAACTCTCTACTTTATTTACCCTGTTTATTTCCTCTTTTTCACTCCTTTTCTTTCTTTCTTTCTTTCTTCCTTTCTAATTTTCTTTGATTTCTTATTGTCTTTCATTTTTTTGAGGGGGGCACTAGAGAGCTAAATACATGCCACTTCTTACATTTGACGAACAATGCTCTCCATTAATAACTTCCTCCAAGTCAACACTACCTCTTCATTCCTAGAAAGAACCGTGCAAAATCCACCTATATAGAACCTCAATGGAGCTCAAAAGCGGGAATCCGAGACACAAGGATGACTTACAATGGTTTAGACACGAAGAAAGGAAGGGGGGACGTTCTATCAATCACCATTAAGCTCAAAAAGCAACAAGCTCCTAACATGAGAACGACCCCGAAGTCACACTGCTCAAAGGGGTTGACTAAGGGATAAAATATTTAGGGACAATAAACTTTTGGGCGTGGACTAATTCTATACCTCCATCATACTCACTTACGACAACGTGAATGTTACTCGCCATGGTAAGAGGAATCTATCACACAAGAAAAAGAAGATCGGTACAAATCTCACATGGGTACCTAATCACCCAATCAGCTATTCCAATTTCACAAATTTCGATGCATGGCAATTGTAATCGAAGATTAATCATGTCAAGACATCCATTCATTTCCGCACTCATGAGAACTAAACATTCGCACCAACCTAATGCAATTCTCAATCGCCATAATAGGATGCACTCGATCACATGCAACAATTGAAGGTCAATGCCAATAAACACAAGATTCTCCTACAGACCGGCCACTTTGATCATGCAAACATTGCTTGGAGCCCTCAAAATTTTCAAATTTGGGTATACATCAAGGCTCAAGCATCAATCACACTCACACAAGTATAAGAATAAACTACATCCCACATTTAAGTTGGACATTACCCTCAATGGCGCAAAATAAGGGGTAGAACGATGTTAGCGCTTGGCTTGGTGAGTGAAAGTCGGGACCGAATTGGGCCGGAGATGAAGAAAAGAGAGCTCCAAGGAGACAAAAACAAACACACAAGCTCACGCAAGGCAAGGTTATTGCATAATAATAATACTTAACATAAAAATAAACACAAACCTTCGTTGGGTTGCCTCCCTAATACGACCCTAAATGAGAGGATCGTGTTTGAATGCACGCAGCTCGTCCAATTGAAGAATTGAGCTTGATTTTTGAACAAGAACCTTGAAACAGGGGTGGTGTTTGATGTTGTGAAAATGAAACTCTCGTGCAATCTTTCACGCGGAAGAACGCTCGATGAGTATAAGTCGATGTTGGCCACAATCAATGGTGATCAATTGATTGATACAAGCTATTGAACTCTCGGATTCTACCAAGCAATTCAACCAATTCACAAAGCGAAACGCTTAATGAACGAAACTCAAAACTTGAATTCTGTCTTGCAAAATCTGTCTTACAATACGTTGAAAGCGAACTTAAATAGACCTAGATATGCATACAAATCAAAGGAGAAAACCTATTTACTTTAGAAAACAAAAACAAAGCAACCGAAACCAAAGAGGACATGTAATCCTAATCCAAAGCGGATTCAGATAGTCGAGGAGCAGGCTTCCAAGTCGATCTTTTGCGCACTCAATCGAAGCCTTCCAAGTACGTCTTTGTCCAGCCAATTCCTTTGGGCTGTAGTAGAAGACGTCCACTTTCATGTGGCACAATCCTCATAACTCGGTTCTCTTCCTTCCATCTCGAACAAGCCTTCAAAGTGGCCTTCCCGAATGGCCTTCCAGACTTAGACAGTTCTGGGCAGTTTCCCATTTTCATCATAGCATCTTCATGGCTCTTGAAAACACCCGTGCCGACTTGTATTATACCAACCAAGCCTTCCATCCTGTCAAGCAAATCTTGGACTTCAACCTAATACCTTCTAAACGAATTTCCATCGAAGCATTGGAAAGAATCACCCTTGCAAAGTAAGCATCCTGCACAGGAACAAACACTTAACCAAAATTGGTGATTCTTATCGCCAAATGATCTTGCTTCTTTAACAAGCAATTGTAGCCTGTAGAGTTGGCAAACTTGGATCATATCACTCCTAACAAGCGCTACTTTTACGTCATAAGCTAGAAGATTGCTCCCTAGCTTCGGTCCATCCTAGGACCTTCTTGAAGTTGAGGTTCTCGTTAGTGAGATGAAGTCTCAAGCCACGAGTATTGGACGAATCCATGATTGAGGGCTCGTGAACTTGATCGGCTTTGAGGCTCCACCCACGAGACCTCTTCTTCTTTTCTGTTTCTTACTCTTTACCCCACACCATGTAGTCCATCATTGATTGACTTCCATCGCATCCACCAAGAGGGATCGCCGATGGTTTGGCCTTGGCTTGGCAAAGAGTCGCAAGTGGGTCATTCTCCAAAAGCTCGTCAAGGTCGGGTAGAAAGCATTTGTAGCACTTATAACTTGTGGATGCTTCATCCACCCTGACCTCGTCCTCATCTTGGACACCACTTGCTCCTTCTTCTTCACTTTGTTCCTCCACTTGGGAACAATCAAGATCTTCCCCTTCTTTAATGCTCACTTCCTCCTCTTCAACCATTTCTTCTTCCTTCCCATTCATGTCTTCAAGTACGGTTTGGAGGGCAAGATGCCATGCAAGATCATAAAAAGTATTCTCTTGCTCCTCCACACTCGTGACTCGGTCTTCAAATTTGCTCTCGGGGTGGGGAAAGTGATGAGAGTCATCAATGCAACCTTCTTGTTCATCCTCACCACGGGAGCTCTCCGGGGTGAATTCTTCTTACTCCACACGGTTGTCATTGATCGCTCCTTCAACCTCATCTTTCTCCTCCAATGATGAGAGGCGATAGCCTGCACAAGCGCGTGCCACCTTGTCTTCTAGTGTCAAGCCGGGAGGAGGGAGGGGCTGGAAATCCATGTCGGAGATCGTTCTTCCAAAGTCCCCATGGCTTGCCTCTTCGACTTCCTCTCTTTCTTCCAATGGTAGGAGGCGATTATGAGCAAGTTGTGCACATGCTTGCTCTACAAGCTCTCCTAGCCTCTCCGTGTGTCGAAGGAGCTCCTCCGATTCCCGAAGAAAGGTTGAGTCGAAATGGTTGGAAATTGGGAGGTCCTTGCTAGAGCACCCTTCATCGGTGCCCCAGGCGAATCGCTCCACCATGTGCTCTAATTTGCTCTTTGAAAGCCTCCATGGCCAACTCCAACTTGGATTTCACCTCAAGTGGTGGAGGGAAACCTTCTTGGTATCCCCATGAGCATGGTTGTTCTTCTTGGATGGGAGGTTGGTAATAGAATCCAAATCATTGACTTCCCCTTCTTGATCGTCCCATGAATTTCTTAGGTAACCACTCTCGGGTGTTGGTGGATACCCCCACACGTGGGCAAAATCATAAGGATCCATGATCCAATACATACAAACACAAAACACTAAAAAGGAAAATCAAACACACACAAACCACCTTTCAATCAAGACGAAGAGTGGTGAACAAAACACAAACGAAACACAAGACAAAAACAAAAAGGCAAGATAAGAAATGCTAGAGTAACATTAAGCGACCTTTTCAAAATAATGAACCGCGTTTCCCCGGAAATGGCGCAAAAAACATGACTCGCATGAAACTACACCTCGAATTAATCCCGACTAGAGTCCAAGTTTTTAAACTCTAGCCGAGTGCAGTATAGGGCAAGTATTTAATTGTCAAACCCGGGTCGGTCCATGTACCCCTACTTCAATCGCTTAGGTTGTTATCTAGCAAACGTTTTTGTGTTTAAAACATAGAAACCTACAAATGAAACAAGCAAGTAAAGTAATTTGAGGTTGTCCCAATGAGAGAAGAGTTCACCAGGGTGTTGCTCCCCCTAGCTAGCAATTACGACTTGATGGATCGAATGGTCGTGTGTGGTGAGTGGGTTGTAAACCGCAGGGAAGTCTAACATGTAGCCAAAGCTACCCTCTTAGTCTCTAGGTTGAGGAAATGGGAAACGATCCAAGCCACTAAGGTGACCCTCTCAACCTATTTACTAAGGAATGAGCATACAATTAGCAGATCTATCCATTGTGTATCCTAGGGGCATTGCAGGGGATTTGATAGTTACTGTAGGGTCATTTACATATCCTGCTGACTTTGTGATTCTTGATATAAATGAGTATGTGGACGTGACTTTGATTTTGTGTACCTTTTCTTGCCACCGCCAAGGCACTCATTGATGTAAATGATGGTGAACTGATTTTGAGGGCTGAGAGTGAACAAATCACCATTTCTGTTTTTGATAATATGAAGCACCCCTAGCTCCATGATAATGTTGATTACTGTGATGTGATTGCTAATTATGAGACCGCACTCGCCATCACAAATGCGGGTACTAATGATTTCCTCGAACATTGTCTTTGTTAGAGGAACAAGTATCACAAGAGGTATAGCTTGCGGAGCAGTTCACGTAGTTGACTGTCCTCAAAAAAAAAAAAAAAAACTAAACAACCGGCCAGGTCACCGGTGCATTACAGAGACCGAATGAAATCCGCCAAGTAAAAAACTAGACAACCGGACACAGATTTGTCCTCCACAAAAATAGACTAGCTGTCCCCTCTAATTATGAGCAACGATGCAGCATGCGGCCAACACAAGTAGGTCAGTAGAACAGTCTTTCCTTAGATTTGCAAGTCTCACAACACCATCGCAATTGGAAAAACTGGATTAAGAGATGCCCCTCCTCCCGTTGTAGTTTACTCCTGCTTATAAATGAATTTTATGACAAATACCTATCTTTCCGTGGCAAAGGAAATGTATGTTATGAAGAGACAAACCTGTCTGAACATAACAGATAAATGGGCAGTCATTCTCATCCATAAGATCAATAATGGTTCTTCCCACATATGGACTACCAGCTGAACTTATTAGGAAGCAAGACAGCAGTAAGCAATCCTGGCTTTTCATTAACCAAAAGGAGAGAATCCCTAGCCATTACATAATAATAGTTTCCTACCAAGTTACAAAGTTAGAGTTCTAAACACGTCTGATACACTAACTATCTTCCTCGTTCTCCTCTCCGACCATTCCTCAAGACTTTCCTTCAACGCCCATCTCCCTTTTCAGTATGTTATTCATCAACGTCATCTCTGTTAGGCTGCACTTCTTTGAATTAGACATCCTTCCACTGCTCTATTTCCCTTTACATGAGCATTGAAGGGCGACATAATAGATTTTTTCCAGAACCTAACTTAGTTAAAACACCACACCTGCTGCTACATAAAACACAGCCACCAAGAAGTTTGGAGGAGTTGATAAATGCCCCTCCTAATGATAAACCACTAAGTCAGCGAATAACCTGAACCCATTCATATCGCCCTGGGAGGGGTATATCATTCACCACATCAAAGTTGTACCTGTAACATTTCACATAACTAATCGTCAAGCAAGCCTCGAGCAAAACAAGTTAAATGAAGGAATGGAAAAAAAAGCAAAGTCATTAATGACAGTGGAACCGCAAGCGTGCATACTTGTCAGTGAATAGTCTCTGCTGCAGCTCTTCTTGACCGGCAAAGAAGTCATCCATTTCTTGCACAGTAGGGAAGTTCCTCAGAGTGTCATTACCAACTCTACTGCTAGTACCCATGGAAGCTCCCTGCCTTGTTGTTGAACCAGGGGTTCCCACGCTATCAGAAGGTCTTATCAAGCTACAAGGTGTGCTTTCCCTGGTGCTCATGCTAAACCAAAAATTTCAATTACAAAATGGACTCATCAAACTAGTTTAGCATTCTGAAGCAACACTTTCATTATCTAAAACAGAGTGACTAGACAATCATATTCTTCAATAGAACTCCAAATAGCATCAACGCAGAAGGATCACTGGCACTACAATCACACTAGTATCTGCAAATGCAGGATCTCAGAGAACTTGTTGCATACTAACATTCAAAAAAGGACCACTGATGCACACAACCTAGATCCCCGAGGTGAGTGACCACAATATAATCTTTGTTACCACTCTACTCTGCACTAACGCCAGGATAGATACCAAACTCTAAGTTTCATCCTTTTCTGTCATGCTAAGGAAACCATAAATATTCCACCGCCTAAAGCAGCTGTACATTTTGAAAAGAAAACAGAGGTCATACACACCCGGAAAAAAAGTCATTTAAATAGAGTTCACTTAAATGATACCTCAGAAAATTTAGCATTCATTTCATTTCTACGGTACCGAACAGAAATTTGACAGCAGCGGATCAGTTGCCTCGATACAAAGCAACAAAACAGTGCGGGCATTCATAAATCTGTTGATAGGTACACCATGTAGTAGATTTGGAACTCGTTGCATGATAAGCATTAAAGAATGCCCTTCACAAGTTGCAGACATCAATTACCTTCTGTGAAAGCAACTTTCAGACTGTGAAATCGGTTCTCACTAAAGTATCACCATAACATGAAGAGAAGCCGAAACCACTTAGAGCCCCACAAAGGAGCCGGTGCAATTTTCACATCGCAGCATCAAAAGGGAAAAAAGACAAAAGAAAAAATATACACGAACATACAATGATCAGAAACTCTTTCAAGTCATATAATAACTTAGAATCCCTTGCTGTGACAGTGACAGTGGCAAGTCTGATATGGACAGCACAACGAACACTTGAAATAACTCACGGAGAAGATGTAAATCCGCATATTAAGACAAAATAGAAAAAGGGTATTGATGGTTAAAATACCCAAAACGGGGACAACCTTCTAATTTCCTTTGGTTTCCGGGGACACACAAGAAAAGGAAGGACGATCAGAAAATTTTAATCAAGAAAAGGAAAAGAGAAAAAAAAAACTTGCAGCTCCTAAGGAGACACACTCCAGCAGGGGCATATGCGCACCCCTGTACTTTTAACACTGTAAAAAAATGGAGACATCACCCTTATTGACCAACAGATTGCAGAAGCAAGAACAAGTGGAAAAGAAGAAGAGAAAATCCCCTTCATGCAAAATTATCTCTGCACTTTAGGGAAAATAACAAAGAAATCTGGGCATAGAAACAGGCATATCAAAGGAGTTACCAATTGAGAGCTCAAGGGAAAACCTAGAAAGGCAAAGCAAGGTCAATTAACACCCAGTTTAGACCTGGAAGGCCATGAGCAGGCCAAGGAACCCCACAAAAAGTGGCCACGGTTAGAAGGCACAAGCCCACAGAAATTAGTAAGACGAAGCTTGATAACCCAAAGAAACAGAAAAACTAGAAACGACAGGGCAACAACAACCAAGGATCAGAGCAAGCAAAAAAGCAAACCAACTAAACAAGATCAGGAGAAGCAAGAAAAGAAATTGGATTGATACCTAGCTTCGAACTCCGAGCAGTTCTCTCCAAAAGTGCCCTCAATCCCAAAATCCTCAGGCGCACCAGAACCAAATAACTCCCCTTCCATCACCCTGACAACCTTCCCGCCGGTTGACTTGGCCTCCGAGCTCACTCGTACTTTAGAGGGTTGGGTTTTACACCTCAAACCCTCTCTGGGAACACTAATTTCATCTGGGTCCTTCCGGGAGTATAAAGGAGGTTTCTCGAGGCGGCGGCTACGGAGCTGGAGGTAGGAGAAGGACGAATCATCGACCTCGGGAATGGTCTTGGGCGGGGACAGAGACTGTTGAAGCCTCTGAAGGGCTAGGGTTTTAGCACGGGTGCGGACGGTGGAGGTGGCAGAGGAGGAGTAAGAGAGCTCCATAGCCATTGGGGATTTGGTTTTCTTCATGTACTTACCCATTTCCTTGCCGGGGAAAACTGTGCCCTACTTCTTTCCGGTTTTCCGCTCAGTTTTAGCTGATTCTTCTTCTCCTTCTTCCTCAAGGAACGAGCCAGCTCCGTATGTGAGAAGGAAGGGAACAGAGAAGAGAGAGAAAGAGGGAGGGAAGGAGAGACTTATAGAGAGTCAGAGCAGAAGTTTGAGAAATGAGAGAAGCGGTAAAGGGGGATTTTCCACATTTTAGGGTTTTCTCATTTTGGAGGGTAATTTTGCCATGTTCGTGTGATTTGTACCCTTTTCTCATTTATGCCATTTTAAAATACTGAAAAGTTTTTACATTTTGAGCGAACGAAGGCTTCTAGTTCTCGCAGCTCAAGTATATTCCTCAAAAGGAAATTCCGTTGACAAAAGGAAATTCCTTTATCGTTTGGATCATGGTTGTCAATTGTCATGGAAATGGTGCAGGCGGAATCTCCCGTTTCTATCGATACTGGTGTCACGGCGGAGCTGATAGCGGAGCGCAAATGCAACCTGGCTCCGGCTGAAGTTCGCCGTCGACGTCTGATCCTGGATGACTCGGACGAGGAGGCCCCGTCGATCATTGGCCGTTGCTCTCCAGCCGCGGCTCCGGAAGGGAAGAAGGGAGGGCGGCGGCTGGTTAAACTGGACGAAGCACTCTCCGCGGCGGGGTCCCTAAAGCACGCGATGCTCCCCGCTCGAACCGGAAGAAGCGGGCTACTGGTTTGAACCGGTGTGAGAAGGTGGAGACCGGTCAGAAGTTGGGCGGACAGGGTCGATCTGGGAAGAAGCAAAGCAGCCGCCAAGGTAAGATTGTCAAGGAGGAGCAGGGGGTAAAGGCGGCTGAATTGGAGGAAACTATATTGGCAGAGGAAAGGAAAATGGTGATGGAGGAGGCTGCCGCTCAGGGGGAGTCCGATGGTTCTCAATCTGAGGAGGACGAGCTCCGGTTTGTTATCAAAAGCAGGCCCCAGCCCAATGACAAGGAAAATTATGGTCAAAATGGGAAGGTGAAGCAGGCGGTGGGTGCTTTTGAAGCGAATCTGGCCATCAATGAGAAACAAGACCACGAGGACCTGGCGGAAGGTGAAATGGTTTTAACTCAATGAATATGGATCTAACCTCGATGATAGGACTCGTAAGCGGCCTTTGCAAGAGGTTGAGGAGGGGTTTGAGGGCAGTCCCACCCCAAAGAGGCAATTTGTGGAAGAAAGCACAGAGACTGTTGCGGTGGAGGAAGCCAGCCATAAATGGCCCCAATCAGATAAATGAGGCTATTAATGTAAGAGGAATTGGACCATCCCTCACGTTCCAAACAGCTTTTAGTTTAGTTCGTTCGAATAATCCGGATCTTGTTTTCTTTTCAGAAACAAGGTCGTCCAGGAGAGTAGTTTCCCGTCGGTTGCGGGGTTTAGGGTTTGAGTCTGCTCAGTTTTTTTTTTCTGTTGATGCAATTGATGGTTCTGGTGGTCTTGTAGTTGCGTGGTCCCCCGAAGTTGATGCTTCGGTGTTTTATCATTCCAGTTTTTGTATTGGTTCGAGAATTAATGAAAATGGTTCTTCTTATGTGGTGCTCTGTACTTATTTGAGTTGTAATGTCGCCTTGTGTGCGTCTCAACTTAGGCAAATTCGTGCGCTTTGTGAGGGACTGCAACTCCCCTTTGTGATCATTGGTGATCTCAATGTGACTTTGTCAGAAAATGAAAAGGATGGGGGCAACCCGTGGAATGCTTCCCAAGCCTTGGACCTTCGCAATATGGTCCAAGATCTTGGGTTGCACGACCCTGGGTACCAGAGTGACGTGTTTACTTGGACAAACAAACGCATGGGGCTGGCATGTATTCGTGAAAGATTAGACAGAGCGCTTTGCTCCCAAAGTTGGATGGATATTTTCCCAGACACCTTAGTGAAACATTTCACTGACCAGGGGTCTGACCATCGGGCTTTGCTTCTGTCTGATAAACCTTATGTTCGAACATGTCGCCCTCTGTTCCGGTTTGATGCCAGGTGGGCGGATAATCCTGAGGTCAAGGCTATGGTAGCTTATGTTTGGCAGGAGCCAGTTTAGGGTACTCTGATGTTCCAGTTGTGGGAGAGGTTGAAAAAGCTTCGCCATTTTCTCTATGACTGGAGCAGAGCCGGAACCACCAACTCCCTGCGAAATATCCACACCTTGCAAAATGAAATTGCCAGAATTAAGGCTGTTCACCCGATCAACTGGCAAGAGGTTGCTACTCTCAAGACAGAATTAAGTAGGCAATGGGAAGCAGAAGAGGTTTACTGGCAGCAAAAATCGCGTGTCCGGTGGCTGAAGAGAGGTGATCAAAATACTTCCTACTTCTACATGGTCACGCGAACTCGACGTAAGCGAAATTTTGTCTCTGGCCTGTTTAATGATGACGGGGAGTGGATAACAGATGAAAAAGGGAAGGCGGACATTGCGACTAGTTTTTACCAATTTCTCTTCACTTCGGAGTGGCAAGTACAGGATATGGCTGAACGAGTGGCTGAGCTCCCCATTGCCTCCAATGTGACCCCAGAAATGAATGCTACCCTTACCGCTGAGGTCAGCCCGTAGGAGATCCGCAAAATGGTCTTTGCAATGGGTTCAAGACAGGCCCCTGGCTCAGATGGGTTCACAGGTAAGTTTTTTAAAGCCTTCTGAGAGATTGTTGGAGAGTCAGTGGTGTCAGCGGTTGGCTCTTTTTTTACTACAAGTAAGATGCTCCGGAGTTTCAATCACACTTGGTTGACTCTGATCCCCAAAGTAGATCAGGTGGAATCCATGCGCCAGCTTCGCCCTATTAGCTTATGCCAGTTCGTGTACAAAATAATCACTAAAATTATGGCGGAAAGACTTGCGGGGATCTTGCCTATTATTGTCTCGGAAGGGCAGAATGCCTTCATCAGAGAAAGACAGATAGTGGATAATATCCTCATTGGTCACGAGTTGATGCATTATTTGAAAATCAAAACCCGTGGTAAGAAAGGATACATGGCTCTGAAGGTTGACATGGAAAAGGCCTATGATAGAGTTGAATGGTCCTTTCTGTTGGCAGTTTTGGAAAAAATGGGCTTTAGTTCGGTCTGGTGAGGGTGGATTCAGGAGTGTTTACAGTCCACTTCTTTCTCGGTCCTAGTGAATGGGTCTCCATCAGGGTTCTTTGCGCCTTCTCGAGGGCTTCGTCAGGGGGATCCTCTTTCTCCCCTTCTCTTTGTGCTTTGCACGGAGGGGTTTGCTGCTTTACTCCGCAAAGCTATCTCGGAAAAGAGGCTGGCAGGAGTCAAGGTAGCGCCCCGGGCCCCTCGCATATCTCATTTGTTCTTTGCTGATGATTCTTACTTGTTCCTCCGTGGTTCCCTACAAGAGTGTGAGAATCTGATCGAAGTACTAAATGAGTATGAAGAGTTAAGTGGCCAAAGGGTGAATTTGGAGAAATCGGCGGTGTGTTTTAGTAAGAACATCTCCTTGCCAGATAAGGAGTTCTTGGAGGCTATCCTTGGCGTGGGCGCGGTAGGGGTTCAAGATAAGTATCTTGGTCTCCCCACTTTGATAGCAAGATCCAAGACAGCCACGTTCTGGTACCTGGAGGAGAAGTTGCTAGAACGTCTACAAGGTTGGAAGCGGAGGACCCTTTCGTCGGCAGCTAAAGAAACTCTCATCAAATCGATTGCTCTAGCTTTGCCGCTCCATGTGATGTCCTGCTTTCGTCTACCATTGTCTCTCTGTCGTCTCTTGGACAAGCATGTCGTGAGATTCTGGTGGGGGGTTGAAGAAGTATGCTCACGAGTCCGGTGGGTTTCCTGGCGGAACATGTGTAGAAGTAAACATGAGGGAGGCATGGGGTTTCGTCGTTTCGAGCATTTTAATCAAGCTCTTTTAGCTAAGATTGGATGGCGAATCCTTAATGAACCTCAATCCCTCTTAGCGCAGGTTTATAAGGGTAAGTATTTCCCGTAGGGATCTTTCCTTTCAGCCACGCCGCGTTCCCGCCCTTCCTGGGGATGGCAAAGCATTCTTTATGGGCGTCAGTTGTTGTCTACAGGGTTACGATGGAAGATTGGAAATGGGCAAACGGCCCCCTTACTTGACTCAAACTGGATTACAGAGCTGTACCCTCTACCCCGGTATATAATCCCCGGGTCCTTCATGAGGGAGGGGAAACAAAGGTCTCTGCAGTCATCTTCCCAGGGGAAGGTCGGTGGTGCGAGGATAAGCTTAAGTAGTGGTTTGATCCTCCGACATGCCAAGCTATTCTGGCAATGCCTCTACCACTTATCTTCTTTACTGCTCATATTTTATTTTTATTGGAATTTCCACACACACCTACAAGAAATTGAATTTCGTCCTTCAGTTTTTTCTTTTAATTTGGCATCATGGTATATGAAAGTTGTGGGCCCACAGCCACAACCCAACTTGACTTAACATCGAGGATCGACTGATTTGGCATGCTACTGGTGATGGTCTCTTCTCTGTTAAGTCGGCCTATCACTTGGCAGTTCGTCTAGATCAGTTGAATGGGCGATGGCGAGCGCAGGTTAGTTGGATGGACAAAGCTAGTTGGATCCGACTTTGGGATGCCAACATTCCCCCGAAATTGAAGATATTTGCCTGGCAACTATTGAGCAGAATTCTGCCGACTACTGAGGCGCTAATCGAGAGGAAAATTGATGTCCTTCCCCGGTGTCGTGTGTGTTGGGCCCCATCGGAAGCGATGGAGCACCTTTTCCTTGATTGCCCGGTGGCCAGGGCTTTGTGGACTCAGTCTAGTCTGGATCATCTTGGTGAGGGCTTGCCTCGACATACATTCCCTCTGTTCCTGAAGAAGTTGCTGGCTATCTTGCAACAATCTTCGCAGGTCATGGAAGTTATTGCTATCCTATGGAGGATTTGGCGATCCCGGAATTGGGTGGTCTTTGATGGGAAGCAGTTTGGTATCCATGCTCTGATGCGGCAGTATCACCAGCAGATAGGGGAATGGTTGAGCTTACCTAAGGATCCCCGGCGTCCCTCTCTGTCTCCTTCTAGCACTAGTACAGTGGGTTTAGGTGGGGCAGGGGGACCTGTGTGTCAATGGGATGGAGCAGTCCGCTCAGGGTCTCACTCTGTAGGAGCCTTTGTGCTCCTTAATGAGGGAGGGGAGACCCTCAGGGCGGCTGGTGTTCAGTTCCCTCTACTGGATGACCCAATGGTGGCGGAAGTACTTACCCTTCGCGAAGCAATCCGCTGGTGTATAACGCAGGGTTTTGTGTCAATGAGGTTTGAAGGCGACGCCAAGGTGGTCATTGAGAAGCTTTGTCAGGCTGATGCGCGTGATGGTCGGATTGGGGCTATTTTGGAGGAGATTCTGCAGGTTTTTAAGGTCTATCCGGGTTTCATTGTACGATTTGTAGGTTGGGGTAGTAATAGGGTAGCTCATAGTGTAGCTAGACATGCCCTGTCTTTGTTCCCGACTACATGTCGTTATTTTGACTTGCAGGCCTGGCTGAATTCTAGGATGTAATTATCGATTGATTATATCAATATATGATTATCTTTTGTCAAAAAAAAAAAAAGGTTGTCAATTGTCATGCCACCAGTCGCGGGTTGACCCGGACCCGGTTGAGCTAGTGGGTCAAGGGTTAATGGGTCACCCGTTTTAGCCCGGAAATATGGAAAGTGCATTATATTGTACTTATCCTGATAAATTATATCAAATCTTATCTAACATATGAGTTATAACCTATAA